AAGGTTATGTAGATATATAGATATTAAATGAACTTAAACCATTTAATATTATAATCTTAAATTTAACTGAACTAAAAAATAATGTCCCTCCAATCCAATACCCTCCAATCCGCATTGGGCCAGCGTGGAGGGTCATGGCCCATCCTCCTTAACCATCCATAAGGAAGGCCTGAGCCCCTGCAGTGGGGACGTAAAAGGGCTGATGATGAATGAAAAAATAATGAGTTTTTAAATAAAAAAACTGTGTTTATTTTGAATGTAATAAGGGGTATTATTATTATTATATTTTAATTTGGCTTTGTTTTACCGTCATTCTGTAGTCACATCTAATCAATAAAATATAATTATAACACAGGTATACTATAATAACAGCTTCTTCTACATTAAGTGATGGGAAAATTAATAAGGAAGCAATGGGTTGGTAGAAGAAAAAAGTCATACTTAGTTGCAAATTATGCGAGAATGGACCGAAATAGCCAACAGCTTCGAACTTTTTTATTTGGCTTAAGACATGAACTTATTCTGACGCCAACGTCCGCTGATGGAGAGTCACATGAAGAAGAATACTGTAATTTACAGAATTGAATATGCCGTTTGATGAACCGATTTAACTAATTTTAGTTTTAAAATGTAGAAGGACAAGGTTTAAACCATGAGAAATTATAAAGAATTTGCAAGAAATATATACATATAAGAAACATTAAATACTTTTAACAGATAAAAGACGCGTTTATATTTAGTCATTTTAAGACGTCTCGTATCTTCTTAAAATTTGTTTTAATTATTGAGTAGTGTAAAAGCAACAATTATGTTTTCCATTACAAATTATTCGTGCCTGTTAAACGTAATTAGGTTTAATTAACTTTTTACACATAATTTAATTCTGAGGTGGTATGAAATTCACTGGATCTGTAATAAAATTATTGAGACATATTTTCGAAAAAAAAATCATTCTTAAGTCTGTATATCGGCTCGAGCACTCCACTAAAGGGACTTACAATTTAAAAATATTATGTACAGAGGTTTAACGCTATACCTAAGCTCCTTACTTGTGTGTATTCAGAGAGACACAATCCTAAAGTACTTTACCTAAAACAGAAAACTTTTGATTTTGAATCATGATATCAACTTTTGATGTATGGCTAAGGCCATATACTGTGGCTAAGACGGCATTCTTAGATTTTCCGTAATAAAATTAAAGGCGTTAAATTAAATTCCTTTTTTTTTAAATTAAAGGCGGAGGGATCACCTAATTAAATAAGAGGGAGGTTTCTTTCCGACATTTTATAAGCGACATGGGACTAACTCTCACAAAATTAAACGCCCATTATGTCATTCTATTTATAAAATTGTTTTGTGTTTTATTGGATTATGTTCTTACTTGAATTAATTTATGTATTAGCTTGTATTTTGGAAGGACATTTTCAGTTCAATATGCTGCTTCAATTCAATAAGCTAACTTGATATTTAATAAAATGGTTTTTTTTTTAAAGAAAATAATATGTGATGAACGATGAAAAAAGTGGCGATATATCTAGATACAAACTTCATAAATAGGTAGAACTTTCTTGCCTAACTTTCTTGCCATGTGATGACTCCATGTTATGATAATGCCATAGGATACTCCATTATAGGGGCATAAGGGTATTTCGTTTAATTCCATTATTTTGACATGTATTTTAATAAAGAATGATAATACGTATATGAATTTAAAAACAGTACTACTAAAATGAAATGTCGCTATGACATCGCTACAATATCGTAATAGTCAGTGATCAGTGTCTAGGACAGTCAATCAGATTGCGAAAGACATGCTGTTACGAAATCGTTCAAGTCCCGATTAGGTTATTATATTTAATCAATTTTCCACTCACAATGCTTTAATGAAAAATATTATTAATGAAAGATTTTTAAAAATCCACTTTGACAAAATGTTTTTACAAGAATATTCCTTGATTGAGTAGCTCAGTGGTGTATTGAGTAGCTCGATGGCGTAATGGATAAGCGTCGCGGCCCGCGATCGTTATTGTTAAGTAACTTTCGCTATGGTCGGTCACGGGATGGGTGACCAAAAAATTATTAACTCGAGTTACTCCGTGCTTCGGAAGGCACGTTAAGCCGTTGGTCCCGGCTGCATTTGCAGTAAAACGTAAAAGGGCTAATGATGATGAAGAATATTCCTTATTAGATGTCCTTAAATTGTCATTTTTATATACATAAAAGTGGCGCCAAAGCCGAGCCAAAAGACAAACGCATCATATTTTTAACATTCATAACTGACTGATTGCAATACATACATTATTTCATACAAAATTTAACAGATAATCTTCTTCGTTTTATATTTTTTCCTTCTATTTCCAGTCCTTATTTCCTTTTCATCGAACGGCGAAGCGTAGATACTTATTACTCGCAGAATATTCAATTTAGTGAATCGTTTACAGGCACGTAGTTAGGAAAAGTAATAGGTACGCAGATTTGAGGCAAAAAATAAAGTGTCAGTTCCGTGTCATCTTGCTCGTAATATCAATTAGATATTGAACTTTATACAGGCGATAAGCACCAGGTTATTGGTATGATGCACATTATTGGTATGATCAGCCTTTTGCTCATCATACCAATAATGTAAGTGAAGTGCAATGTAAGCCTGAATAAGAATAATAAACATTGATTCGGGGTAAACAGACAATTCTAAAACTCTTTAAGTATTAAAATAACAGGTTTGATGTATTTTTCTGACACATAACTCTGGCATTTAAATTATAATTTAGGCAAAATGTTTAGTTTTAAATATAATTAAGATGTAACACCCACGACATATACAATGAATAATAAGTTAGGATAGGAATTAATATATTGATATTGTAAAATTATTGATCACCAATATACCTCTAAAGTTCCAAGTGTTAATATGTTTTGCTTATATAATCGCTCTAAAACTCTATATATACTGTGCAAATAAAGTCACAACAGAAGAATAAATATAGAAACAAAAGATGAATAAACATCTTTCTCTGCCTTTATAATGTCTTTGTATATAAATAAAAATAGATACAACCTGTCAATATATCACGTAACACTATTATGAACGAACATCTATAGTGTACAATACAGGCCCTTCAACTTTATACAGCAGATGCAACTGACAGCTTTGCAATCTAGATTAAACTTGACACAACTTGTATGAAGCTTCCTGTTCTGAACTAGGTCATTCTGTTATATAAACCTTCTATAGTTGAAGTTTGCACTTCATTCTCTTCTTGTCCATTGTAATTTGCCTACTAATTAAAACAAAAAAATTGAGGACTCCTTAAATTCAATTAATTAACCAAGAAAAGCGAGAAAATTCAGTTAAAAAGTTCGGAACGGAATGAATTTAAGAACGCCTTCGCAAGTTCACTGACACAATGGGATTATGTTTTTTATAATATCTCAAAACAAACTGTTCGCGTAAATCAGGGGTTTCCAAACTCATTTAGTCTACTGCCCACTTTGAGAATAAATAATTTTTAGCGCCTTTATATTTCTCCTACTGGAAACTATTATAATTTCAAATTTAATTAATGGTTGTAAGCTATATGATAAAAGACTTTTACTATAACCCGCAAAAGTTTACTTGAGCGCAGTAGGACCTGATACCAGGAGCGCAGTAGGTAGTGTACAAGTTTAAAATTAACTGTTCCTGAGCCTCTACACAACGCTCCAATATTTTTCTGGGTCTCTTGTCGCCCCCATATTGGCCTGCAGCCATAAATTTATATTGAATTAAATAATGAAGCCGACACAAACGCTGTCTTGATTATAGGCGGAAGAGAACGAGAGGGGTAAAGAACTAAGAAATAATAAACGAGTCAGAAAAATTAAAAATAAATAATTTATAGTAATCTTTTATAACTAAAAAATATTTCCGGTCAAGTCAATAGACAAAAAAATACATCGCCGTTGAATATAGAACCTCTTCCTTTTTGATTTTAATGTTGAATAATGCACTTTTAAATTGTATCTTCTAAGGACCAACGTTACGTGATGTTGTCTAATACTTATATATTTAATGAACCTTCTTATCAAGCTAAACGTACTTACTTACGTATAATCTTACACCAACTTTTGTAAGCCTCAAGGAAACAAATATGAAAGCGCTTACTTTTAAGTTTGAAGTTTCAGGAAAAAAATATCTTTAGACATACTTGAGATTTGCAACTTAAAAATCACTATTTCATCCCTACCAATATTATAAATGCGAAAGTAACACTCAGTTGCACAAACACTTATTTAATTTATCATTAGTTAAAAGCGACATTATCGATATACGATTTTAATGAATTACCAACTTGACACAGAAATGCAGTTAACCTTGGGGAAGGATATAGATAACGTTCTATCGCTAAAAAGTGGGTTGTAATTATTGAAATAGAGGATGAAAATTCGTCATTGAAAGTAACTATACCACGTAGAAGAAGTTGAGGACAAAATTGGAAATATAATATCGTTTTTGATATAGTTTATTTTTTCATTTAAATATCTAACTATATTATACCATAATAAACGAGGAGCAATTTCCAACGCCAATTACATCCCTCTCTAGTATGCTTTCGCAGGCGACCTAATTTCCTTTAGAATATTCCAGAGGAAATTATTTCCCGTTTAAAATCGATACACTTCTATTCGGAATATAATAGAAATGTTATGTAAAATTAATCCAGTTTATAAACAACATTGATTAGAAGATTTCAATAATATGATAAAAGGTAGATATCGTAGCCTATTTATGTTTGAACTAAAAATGTATACCTACTGGTAAATATAAAGTTCTCTAAATATTATCTACACTTGCAAAGCATGGAGTAGTTGCATAGTGATAAACTGATAAAGCATTTAAGAAGAAAAAATCTTACCTACATAACACATTTAATTTAATTTTTTCCCGATAAATTTCAACAAGGTTTAAAACTGAAAATAATGAAGGCATGATAATAGAATGTTAAAAATTGTTTTTGTTTCAGGATGGTGACGTAATAGAGTTGTGCCAAGTCAGTGACGTCAGATCAGGAGGTGTGCCAAAGGTTAGTTTATCCAATTAGAAATTAAACAAGGTTTTATTATTTTATACGGTAAAAATGGTTAATCACCGCAGCTCCCCGGAATGCAATAATTTTACCGGCATTTTTGAAAAGTAAACTTTATAATATAATAAATTTCTTTAAAATTATAATTAGCCACAATTTCCTGCGCTTTGCATTCCCGAGTATTTTGCTATGCATAATTCCATATTTATGCTACGAGACACAGTCAGTTGATGCTACTCGAAAGGAATATAAATTTAAAAACTATTTAATATTTGAGTTTTTTTCAAAATTCCACACTCTAGCTCCGATTTTAAAATCCTCCCGTGTTAGTTCTTTTCATATTTGGAATCATAGGCATGAATATTATTGGTCCATGCCCTAGGAAATAGATACCCTTTTTGTACATATGTGAATCATTATCTACCTACTATCAGAAAAATACAATTTCATAAATTTGAAATGTTAATTGATTTACTAAAATAGTGCTACCTACACGAAGCTTTGGACTTTTATTTACATTTAATCAACTACAAGACACACATTTACTTTTATTTTATATGTAACAGACAATCTAAAAAGAATTCTAAGCTTTTAATATAAAAGCTCTTAATCCAATAAAGGGAAGGTGTTGTCTTACGATCTTGTATTATATGACACTGTTATCATGGAAATGTACAGATAACACGTCATTGTGACGTCATACGGGTCGCTTTAACGTTTACAAATATTGTGTTTGAATGTTTACCATCGCGTAAATGCCGTCCAGTATCATGTCAACATATCCACCTAATAAAAAAAATGCATGCTTTTAATGGCCGTCGTTAAAAACGATGCCGTATGAATCACCGCGTATACCGATATGACTAAATTGTTTGTAGTAATTTAAAATTTTAACATTCGTTAACAATAATTCTGACATATTACGTTTAGTGATTTTATCGTAACACGATTTAGTTTCTAGGTATACCATAATATATAAAAATGTCAAAAACTGTTGGACTAATTTTACTATATTTACCATAAATAAATGTCAAATTCATGTAAAGAATATACTTATGAGTAAAGGCTATTATAAAGTTGATGATTATTTTAAGGATCGCAATGCATGGAATTGATAGCCTTCGCTTTGTTCTATAAAGACTAATTATATGTTCAACCTATGTCCTACAGACTTTGAAAGTTGTATTTATTATTGTGATAATATATATTATTTTGGTAATGACATGATTTATGTAAATGTCATTACTTATGATAAAAAGCTGGTAAGTTTCTTTCGCTTGTTCTTCTTGTCAGCTAAAAGACGTCCTGAACAAGTGTTAGGGGGAAAAAATATTTTTTGGACGATTCAAAAGTGCTTGTAATAGCCTACTTGAATAAAGATATTTTCATTTCATTTCATTTCAATAATTATTTCATTAATATAAAGATGTAATACCACCGTGGAGTAAGAAGCTACTGCTTAGTGATTTATTAAACAAAACGTTTATACATTTACAAAATTAGTACTGGCAATATCAAAACGCACCTCGATTAAGAAAATGTTTTACCACTCCCGCCAAAACCGCGCGTAATTTTAAGAATAATACAAGACGTTCTTTGTCTGCTACTCGTAGCTTCTGCATATGTATTTTTATTTTAGTCATGTTTGTTTATATTGATGAATTAGTGAAATAAAAAAGTTTCTAATTTTAAATATTTAATCGATTTAAAGAGTTAATTGATTGATTTCCGTTAATATACCTATATTTTTTGAATTACCTAATTCAAATAATCGGGTAAGTTTATTATTATTTATTAACAATATTTTAATATACGACGTCCAAAGCCGAGACGCTCGCCGTTTCAATGTGTCGCTAGCCGGTTCCGGATTCGATACCCGGCCGAAAAATATTGCCTCGGGGTTGGGTGTTGTGTCAACTTCATTAGGTACGGGCTTACACATTATTAACGACGTTTAGAAATGAACATAGCGTAATTTTCACGGTACATTGAATATTGCTGTATCAGAAATTCAGCACACCATTTATTCGGGATACTGGCAGTTGCCGATTTCGTGTTATTAACTCTTTAAATATTTACATTTCGTTCCCCGTTCGACTAGAACATCGATGAGTTGAAGCGGGAAAATGCTTATGTAAACGTATTCTTGATCCCGGGAACCACTGAACACACATTTTAATATTTGAATAATTAGTAGCTAGGTTAATATGAAACCACTAACTGCTTTTCCGCGACTTTAACTGCATGAATTATAGCCTGTGTCACCCACGTATGTTGTAGCTTTCCGTAGATGAAATAATTTTCATCATCAGATTAGTATTTCTGAAGATTACTCTCTGCAATCAAACAAAGTAAGAAACTACCTCTTTATTTATTAGTATAGATGAATAATTACTTTATTAACTGTTCAAAGCAACTACTAATTTACTATTAATACTTTTCAAACACTTTGTCACGTTATAGAAAATTAAATTGATAAAATTGGAAACTAAATAATAGATTATAAGAATACTAACACATAATCAAAATTAAAAATTAAAAACACAATGAGAAGATAAATATACTAGGGTTATAAAATTGGGAAGAAAATTATAAAGACCGACTTTCCGCGCTAGTAGCAAAAGTTAACCGACGAAATTAGTTACAAAAATAAATTTTAGTTTTAATTTAACCCTTAAGTTACACAATAGGCTGGCTATCTGACAAAATTAACCCTGCTACTTACCGATACTCAATGAAAGATATCCCGCAGTAGATATGCGAACAGATAACATATCTACTTTTTCGACTTTCTTAAGTGCTTGTACCAGCCTAGACTGAAGATATTGAATTTGAATCTTATGTCTATATACTTTTGTAGGATAAAGAGAGTAATTTATGTACCTATAAAATACTGCGATAATAAGTAAGTGGGTTTGAATTTTAAAAAAGGAATAAGCTTCAATATGTACTCGTATTTTTGCATGGTAATAATAAAAAAATAAACAAAAAATATATAACAACTATATAAATTAATGTATAAAAAATACAGCAGTTGTTTAACAATAATTTCAAAACATAATAACGAATTCAAGAATAATAAAAAACGACAATGAGATAAGAGACAATAAAGTTTAATTTAAAAATGAGATTTAAAATGCGCCGTTACAGTAGTTCATAGCTTATGCTAATAAAATCTTAAAAAGGATAACCATAAAGGATAATTTTGCTTCGAAACGCTGAATAGATTATATTTGCACGAAAATAGGTCACAGGTCACATCCATCCTTACGATGCCTACACGGGTCACTACGGCCATCAGAAATAGATAAGGCTATTAGGATAATGGTCGGAACCGTATAGACGACAAACGATGAAAAAAGACATCCATCGATATTTCAATTTCAGGGTTTGTCTTGAGTTTTTCATCTCAAGAATATTGAGTTAGCAAATAAAACGTATTTTATTACCTTGCATTAGGACATATTGTTTCTAATATAAGTCTTCGGAGCTATTATGCAATCATTAAGGTTTAGATTTCGATTTGTCGTCTAGTAGATCACACATAGCTGCAGGTCAAGTTGATTTTAAACCGAAGTAATGTTTTGTTAGTAGAATTTAAAATCAAATGGAGAAATTTCACATATTTGTAATTTAATGTAGAAAACGATTTTTCTAGTTTTGGTGATAGCTAGCAATGTTAATTCTGATATCCAGTACACTAGTAACATTCTGCTTTAATTAATTAAAGTTGTTTCACCTATTTTGCATATGTTGATACAAAATTTAGTTCACGTCACTTCAATAGTCCTTTTAGTTAAGGCATGTTATGTTCAAAGTATGCTTATACGGCATTTATTGGGTTAAGTCTTTAGAGCCCCGAAATTAAGGTATTTCAAGTGTCAAATACAACCACGTAATCTGACGCTTTACCGAAGAGAAACTAAAATTATGAAGGTCGTCGTATCCTGATCGAATTTGAAGGGGTATACTATTCAACAAACATCAATTAACTAACTAACACAAGCTTTTAATTACGATAACATTCTATTCATATAGATGATGAAAGCTATTACCTAATTACCTCACCGCTGGATTACAGATAGAAGTTCTTTTTACCGGATCACACTAAGGAGAAATGTCGTTAATATAGCAATAATGAAAATTATAATAATACAAAATCGTGATAATTAACGGCTTTTAGCCTTAATGTGACCCTAACAATAGGAGGAACGTGACATAATCTACTCTATAACCCATTACGGATTGGTGGACAGCTAGGCCTACGAAAAATTTAGAACATCCATCCGGATAACCGGCAATAAAACTATTCAATTACTATAATTGCAGACCAAGCGTGCTAACACAGTCCTATGGTGCTCCTCCATTTTTTTACAAAATAACATCTTTGCACTTCCGCAGGACTCTAAACTAAGCTTCAACCTGCTCAACAAACACGGAGACACTCTAGAAGACAAGTCGCTCACCATCTGCAGTGGCACCGACTACATTAATATCAATTACCAACACGTCGTATGCCCTGATGCAGCCACAGCAAAGGTCAGTTTGGGTAATCATTTCGTTAAACCATTCCTTAATTATACTCATACACATACTACAGACTTGATAAAAACCTACGTGACAAAATTCATATAAGAAAGCTTTATAAAACAGATAGATATGTTCCTCAAGACTTCAGTTACTCAGATTAATTTATTAAACTTCTAATTGTGTACAAAAGAGAGACAAAAACAAATACTAATCTTACCTCGAAGACACCTTACAGAAAGGAAATGGAAACCTAACGGATAGAAACATTCAATTGTTTTATTTTATTAATACTTTTATAATACACTGCCATAATAAACTTTATTGATATTGAAGACTGATGAGTATAGTTAATAACAAAATAGTAACGGAAAAGATCCAAATCTGATATTTCTTTTCTATACGAGTACACTTATATGAAGTCTGTTTAATTTCCTGTGTGATACTACTCTGATTCCAATTATATTCCAATACTCATTCACTCGAGCCTCCGGTCGTATATTAAATCAAAGAGAAATATATTGGTAGCCTACAAAATGAAATAGCAATCTCACACCGATTATAATTAAGTTACATTAATTATTGCTCATTAGCACCCGATAATGCAATACAAACTACAGAGTAAAGATAGAATTTGTTTTTTTAACAATACTTTCGTACTTATTTAAATGTTTTCATCGCATCCAAAAGGTATGGTTGGAAGGACTACGGAAGATAACTCACAACGTAAAAGCGAACAACTTCTGTCCTATGACCTGTCTGAAAAAACAGTAAGTCGACACCAAAAACCACAGGCACACAAACTTCTGGCTCTTAATGTTTTTCTTTGGCATAGTCTTGGGGTGTTGAATGATGTTTCGCTTTTTTAATATTTTTTTTATCAATGTCATTTATGTTTTAGCATGTGCGCATTTTAATCAAGAGTATATTATAAAATAAATTAAATTCAACTAACTAAAATACGTTTCAATTAGAGTTCTATGTTCCTAATAATACATAGACTAACACCCATTTTCACTAATCTAAAACAAGGCATAATATAATAATAAATAGGAAAAGCCTTTTAATTCCAAATATTTTTTTTACTTATATCCTTTAACACATTTATGACCTGTCAAATTATGCAAATTCCTAGCGCAAGGCGTCGCGTAATTCATAAATTTTAACATGAAAATTTAGATATGCATTGAAAAATGCGTTTTCACTTTAGGCGGTTCCTAAATATGGAGGCGACAGATTTGGACGACTCCTATGTTTAGTGAAAACGGTTATGAGACGTATTCTAGTTACTCTTTAGCATCCAGGTTTACAAAAACAGTATATATATTTGGCAACAGTAACCATGACATTGGTTAATTCTAAAATAATAATAAACGTATTGGTATAAAGCTCATGACGTTAAAATGTGCACAAATCGTTAATAGTTGATGTTTATGCATGTTTATTCGTTCGTTTATTTGCTTTTTGCCAAGGTGTGGAAGGAGGGACTCCGCGCCATCACACACAACAACAAAATCAGCAATGTGTGTCCAAGAACAACTCTCATGAAACAGTACGTACAGCACGCTTATGCTTGACAATAGAATACATCTACACCTTTAACTAATTTATATTTTATGTACAGTCAGTCAATTTAATAACATATTTCATTATAATCAAAGATTTGATTAATTATTATTAAAAAATGCATTCACAATGCTTTACTGGAAATCCACCAGGTCTAAGTACACTGAGATGGGACTCCAACCCACGACCTTTCGCAATGCGGTCACTAGTAGCGAAATGTAAAAAACACAAAATACTCTGAGAACTATGGAGCATCGGGTATAAATCTGATGTATCGGAATAAGCCGAAATTATATAAAAATTACAGCTTCAAGTTCCTCGGTTTTACCTGGGGGTGTATTCTCTACGTACGTATTTTCACAACTATAGTACATATAATTCTTTTTGTAAACGAAAATGGAACGTCCTACATATTTTTCCCCTACCGTGTAAATCTTTTGGTCAACATGAAAAATGGGAGCATTTTAAACGAATTTTAAATAAATCAGTTTTCTTTTTTGTTTTAGTTATAAAAGAGTTTAAAAAAATTGTTCGGTTATTTTAACATTTCTTTAAAACTATCCTTTGCCCGTGATAATATTTAAATTTATGTACAGAGTTACACCCACAGGAGACAAAACATGTAGTAAATATTAAGGTATGCATGTAATTGTTTTAAACCCGGTACACTTATTGGTATGTTTTTTCTTTTCCTCTATGTGTTTTAATTCTTAGTGATTTATTTCTTTTTTAACTGAGCGAAATCGTAAGGCTTTTATTTTTATCGATCTGTTTTGCACATTTGTACATAATGCTCGTTGATTAATATAATTCATAAGCTAATTATAATGTGAGTAAAACCTTTTTACTGATTATTAATTTTATTCATAAGTATTTCAGTGACATTAAACTTTGGAATACCTTAAGAAGGTTTTATCTCCGACTACAGAGAAGGTTATCATTACAAAACAGGGGTAATGCCCTATATCTATCTAAATCATTTGTTTATCGAATAAGAATTAAACTTTTTATAACCATTTTATATTGATCATGATATAGCCATTATGAAATAGTAAAATATGTTTTAAAAATAAATAAGCCTGTTACATTTTCACTTTACTATTGACCGTTACCTATGATATTATTTCGCATTCCGGTTTCAAGGTGTCGTCATCAATGAGGTTCAGAGGTCGATTCCCAGTCGGGTCTATATAGAATATTAACTTTTCTATATTGTCTCTGGTCTGAATGTTCTGGTACTTACGTTGTATCAGATACTCTATAATACATACATACATATACGATACATACAATACAGGGGCTTTAGCTACTCATCTTGGAATCTGAGCAGTGAATGTGATGTTGTCGAATACTTAATTTTTGGAATGTTAGAAATTTCAAAGATACATTATGTAAATAATTTATTATGAAAATGTATAAGAACCTTTTTTAATATAAAGTACGTTAACCCACGTAAAAGTTAAGATGTATAGGTAGTGTAGGTACATATACTCGAATAGAAGCATTATTCCCCCCACGCCTTAATCCCCACCTTAAGATATTGCTGTATTGTACATTCCATTGTATATCTCCAAGATTTATTAAGCACACCGCCCATTTACTATCGCAAAACAAAACGGCTTTTATTTTGATTAAACCCAAGTCGATCCTGTTGATTACTTTGAATGATATGAAGAAGGTATTGTTTTGCGAATTAGGTGAATGGATACTCGTTACTGGATGTTACTATATTTTTCTTGATAGTTATGTAGGTATCATGTATACAATGATTAAGTATAAGTAATCGAAAAATGCAGCATATTTTGGGTTCATACATTTAAGGGTCTTTTTAATAATCGTCATTTTTACTATGCATTATATGTATAACACAGTAAATCCCGCTTAAGACGATTCCACAGGGACTCAACCAAAAACGCATCTTAAGCGGAAAAGCGTTTTATGCGGGATTGAAAACATAGGATTTATCTGGCATCAATTTAAAAAATAAATCGAATTCGTCCGTCTCTGTTAGAAATATTTCACGGTACGTAATTTTCCAACAATTAGGGAAGTGTCACCATCTATGTATCAAACACATAATGCCGTAAAGATTTTTAAAACAGTCTATCCAGCCAGTTCAAGCGTTAAAATCAGTGATTTGCAAGCTTTTAACAATTTTACGCGCTCTCTCGCATATTATGTGCCTACTTATGGGCCGGTTTAAAGCTCGTGCTAGATGAAGCCATTACACCAAAACTTTTTCTAATTTATCAAACATTCCTGTTGTTTTTTCTCTGCACGCCTCCCAATCTATATTTTTCCTTGACTTCTTCTTTATTATTTAAAATGGTACGTAACGTAGATACTGGTAACTGAAGCTCAGCAGCTAACTGAGTTTGATTTTTAGTTTGCGATTTTTCATCAAAAACACTTGATATATTTTTTTCTTAAAGTGACAATGCCTTTTCGCTTAATTGTAGTAATGTGTGGTACGAGTTGGCGTCGTATTAAACGGGATGACGAATTGTATTAAACGTTAAGAAATGTGTGAAAACATGTCTCAAGCGTGATCATATTAAACGGGTTCTACTGTATTTATTATTATTTTTTATTTTTACACCTGTTTATCCTGTGAACCTCGCATCGGCGTCTGCGATGCGAAGTTAATAAACAATCGTAAGAATTACCATAAGCTTATTATTTTGAGCTCTTCCGTGTTTTCGAAAGCATGCAAGGCAACATTTATTTATTTTAAAATTAATATTCGACAAGTTGTCGATTGTTGCGATGTTCTCCCTTCTCTAATAAATTAATTGATATATTTATTAATGCCGTAAATTAAAAGACGGAAGCTCAGAGTTTATGCAAAATGTTATATTCACTAGTATTCTAAATATTATCTAGTTACTCAGAATACAAGAAGTGATATGAAGCTGAAATTTGTCCCAGTTCCTGAAGTAATTATAAATTAATTTCACATATGGCCGCCCTAACCTAGTTTCGTGAACTTATACATTACAAAGTTTAAAGCCCAGACTTTAAAAGCCTGTCTGCCAGGTTTCAGTTCAAAATTTCAACGACATTGTAACCTAACCTATACATTATAATAACAGTGTCAGATTAATGAGATAATAATATGAATAATAGCTAATAATAATATGAAGCAAAAATATTTTAGGGCATTATAAATTTTCCGCTACTGTGGAGCGTATTTTCACCAATGTTCAGGCAATCCACCGAAAGAGCCGAAAGAAATATTTTTTAAACTTTAGATAAAGATGAAAGTTGTTATTATTATTAATTAATAAAAAAGATGAGTAAAATAATTTTTAAGTATTTATTGGGTCAAAACATAAATCAATTACATTACAAAATATAAAATTGTCTCTAAAATTAACCATTTTCTTAATTTCTATTTTTTACACAAAAATAGTGAATAAATTTAACTATTATTATATATCATTTATTATTATTATTAATATATAATATGAGTCTCTTTGTAGCAGAGGATTAAGATTCGCAATATGCCATACCAATCCCGAGCTTTCTCGTTGTATCTAAGCGCAATCTAAGTATTCTAATTTAATATATTTTAGACGAGTATAGTTAAATTTTTCAGATACAGTCAAAAGAAGGTATGTATATTAATCTAATTAAGAAGGAAACCTTTGTAATTACGACAATAATCAAATTACAGCGAACCACTCGGGACTTAAACGTTAGAGGTTTCTACAAAGTTTTAGCGTCGGCGATGTGCCATATTGTTGTCAAGTAAATATGTTGAACTATATACTTACAACTTAGCCGGTAGCTAACTTAGTTACATTACAGAGTAACCATAAAACACTTTATTCCCTTGAGGGGAACTACCGTACTTAGTCGCTAAAACCATCTACGGCGTAGACCCTAAAATATTAATAAAGGAAGGTTTTTAGTACTTATGTAACTAAAAAACTGCTGTATATTTAAAATTAATGCATCAATAGTTGGCATTGTGTGAATATGCACTACCTTTCATAATTATTATATTTCAATTTGCATTATTTCCTAGACTATTTAAGTACACTTCACTTCCAAATGATAAATAACTATACTAAACAGAACAGAAACCTGTATTACCCTTTATAAAAAAACAGTTGCTTATCCATAGTGGACTGACAAGAATACTAGGAATTTCTTTATAAAATAGCTTGTAAATATTTTCACATAAATTTCAAGCTCCGTGTATTTTACTTTAAGGTCTTCAACAGCCAAATTTTAGTCTTGAGGTAACAACATTTTACTAGAAAATGTGAAACCAAAAAGATTCAACTTATAACCTTTTCTGTAGTCAACAAAGTCGCAAGTGAATAATGGTAGTTCAATTTTAGGTATATTTGTAATACGAACGCAAAATTTTCTAACCAAATGAAAAGAATTACTGGTGCAAATCATTTAAACTGACAAATTTTCTTTGTAACATAAATAATTAAATTGTAATCTGAATTACCTACATTTATTAATCTATGTAATGTAAGTACTGAAACAGAGAGTATTTATTTTTTTATACAATTATATCCAATGGCCGCTGCGTGAACAAGACATTGGATCATATTTAATTTTTCCAATAAAATAAAAATAGTAGCGAAACAGACTCGCATGAACCCCTCATGACATTGAAATGACCAATTATAAATGTCTATAACTACCTATGTCCTATCCATAGTACATACTAACTAACTGTTCTTTCACAGTTGGATGCGACTATGTTTCCTTACTGATCCTCGAGGAAAAGTGCCTGTGAAAGTGGTAGCAAGAACCTTCGCATCCGGCAAGACAGAGAAACTAGTATATCAGTGCCTATCCGAACTTGGTTTGCCGTCGGGGAAAAATGAAGCCATGGAGAAAGAAGCGTTCACATTTGACAAATTCTACGCTTTATACCATAAGATCTGTCCGAGGAATGATATCGAAGAACTGTTCAGATCAATGTAAGTTTATAAGGGTGCCATCGGTATTTATGGTTTATTTGCACGAGGCCAGGAGCTGAACCAGTTCAGTATTGGCTTCGTGTAAATGGAGATAAAACCGAAACTGCCAATCTAGTCCAATGAAACATAACGTTTGCTGATTTTACTGTACTGTCTTACTGGATTGGTCTTCGTGGAAATGATTCCATACATAGGACGTTAGGGGAACAGGGGATGTGGTTTAGGGGAACAGGGGTGTCGGGATGTTCCCAACATTAGCAACATAAGCACTTAATAACTGCGTAATGTTTCTGCACGCTCTCTCTTTCGCTGTACACCTTGTTAGACGCACGTATCTCAGTTATGTTAGCAAGAAATAAACCTATACATTATAAATCACCGTTTAATTACAAGTCCACCAACGACTGTACAGGGGAGGGTTGACAGAAATTTCGATAGCTTTCATTAGGTACAATAAAGATCATGAGTACTATAAGAAATTGTTCGCAAAACAAAAAATATTCTAAACATTATAAATATGTAATAAATATGAATGATGCGTCAATTTTATTCAGCTTTTACCATAGCATCAAATATTATACATATTTCCATATTTTTTGCTTTTTGTACTTTTAATCGGATGTATTACGAAGGTTTTCTCTTAGGTCATTTAACCAAGGGAGAATAATATGTTCTTTGTTTCGCTAAAAGGCTCTCTAGATACCTCTACTGTACTATACTATTAATAATATTAAAATACCGAAATTAGTAACGTCATTTACCTAAGGGATGTCCATTGTAACAATATTATCCAGACTACATACTTAGATGTGCCAAAACAAAACTTAGAAAATTGTTTAAATAAATTGGCACAACAGATATATTTCCACTCATGCTTGCTTTAAAATCATATCCCTACTAAATTTTATCGACAGCACTCAGGGAAAATCAGACCGTATCAACTTGGACCAGTTCGTAAATTTTCTGAATGAAAAGCAGCGAGATCCCCGCCTCAACGAGATCCTATATCCACTCTACGACGAGAAGAGAGCCGCAGAAATCATCACCACGTACGAACAAAACGAGGAGGCAAAAAATGACAGTAAGTTTGAAATTTTATAACAAAACTTTTTGATGGTTTGTAATTTCCAAAGGTAATTTATGAAGTGGATAAGCGACTTCCTTGTGGCTCGTTTAGATTAATCGATAGGGGGCTGCATGCAGAATAAGTAAATCTAACAAACTTCAAAGATATCGGTATACAAGAAATAGAAAAATATATATGAAATACAATATTGATTTCTATATTGCGTATCAATAATTGAATAGGAAACCTATCTTTTTTCATAGCACAAAAACAAAAATATATTTATATATCGTAGGAACTGATTTATTCCATTTGTTCGGAATTATTCTCATTTTAAAACTAAACTATTAACATATTACTAGACTCCGTATAATCTTCAATAAACACAAAGCATAACACCATCCTCTAACATCATCATCAGCTCTTATACGTCGGGCTGGCCTAATGCGAGAAATAACTCGAGATAATAATTTTTGGTCACCCATCCCGAGGCCGACTATTGCGAAAGTGGCTTAACAACAACGATCGCGGGCCGCACTACTTATCCACCAAGTCACCGAGCTACTCTACTACTACAATATTTAAACACTATGACTAGAAGATTAAATGAAATCGTCTAATATGCTCAAACTTTTGACCGTTTCCAGAATGTCTTACAAAGGACGGTCTAATCCGCTATCTGATGTCTGACGAGAATGCACCCGTGTTCCTGGACAGATTAGATTTCTATATGGACATGGACCAACCCCTCGCCCACTACTACATCAACTCCTCACACAACACATACCTTTCTGGACGACAGTTCGGTGGCAAAAGCTCCGTTGAAATGTACAGACAAGTTCTACTCGCTGGATGCAGGTAAGATACCTACTTAATTCGAAGGAAAATTTATGTAGTTGTTTTCATTTCCAAACAAATATAAATCGTATAGTAGGCATGAGAAATATGGAATGCTGGGCGGTGATACTATAATCCTAATTTACGAAAATATGGTTAGTGGATAATTTTTCATTTTTAGAACAGCATATTTTATCTTTAAGACGAGTAAATATTAAATTTAAATACAGAATTTACTGCATAAATAATACTAGGTGTTTTCCGCAACTTACCACGCATTAATTATAAGCCTATGTCAACCCCCTATGATGTAGCTACCCATAGGTGAAAGAATTCTTAAAACCGGTCCAGTACTTTCGGACCCTATTACATGCAAACAAACAATCAAATCTTTCCTTTTTATAACATTAAGTTTTATAGATATTTTTATAACATTAACTATGTAGATTGACAAAAATCTATTCTTAATATGAATGCGAATATAAGAGTAACAACGACTACAAATGCAGCCGGACTAAAGGCTAAACGTGTCTTCCGAAGCACGGAGTAACTTGAGATAACAATTTTTGATAGCCATCTCGTAATAGACACTTGCAAAGGTTGCTTAACAACAACGTTACTAATTTTACTACTCATTAGAACTTATTCAGAGAAGTATTATCTTATATTCTTAATGAAAAATTCTTAAAAATTCACTTGGCCCTGATACTTTGAGATGGAACTCTTAACCTTTCGCAATCCGGGCGACTGCTCTAACCACTGAGCTACCCAGGACCTAACAGGACTACCGAATCTTCAAGCACTCGCTACTTTTTCGCTACTAAGGAGCGTATTTGCATTTGCATTATCAATGCTATACTGAAAAACATTCTTATACAAATATACACATATAACAAATATACAAATTTTCATTTTTATCAAAATATTTCTTGCGGCTGTTTTGGTGGATTGCTTGAACATTGATGAAAATACTAAATACTAGTATCGAAAAAGTATCAAAAAAGCTTGAAAAATTCGTCTGATCTTTTGGGTCGTGGGTAGTTCAGTTATTAGAGCAGTCGCCCGTATTGCGAAAAGTCATAGGTTCAAGACCCATCCTGGAGTACCAGGGACAAAGTGGCTTAAGCATTTTTCTTTAAACATATTTTTCAGTATAGCATTTTGAATGCAAAAATGACCAAATATAATAAGCAGTATCTAATTTCAGGTGTGTTGAATTAGACTGTTGGGATGGCAAAGGTGAAGACGAAGAGCCTATAATTACTCATGGTATGGCCATGTGTACCGATATTCTGTTCAAAGACGTGATCTACGCACTTAGGGACACGGCATTTGTGACGTCAGATTACCCAGTCATCTTATCGTTTGAGAACCACTGCTGTAAGGCGCAGCAATACAAGCTTGCCAAGTACTGTGATGAGATTCTTGGAGACTTACTACTGAAGGAGCCTCTACCTGAACATCCTGTAAGTCGTACTAGTTTCGCATATTCTAATATGTATATGGAAATTCATGTGCTTAGAGTTCTTTTTGAAATCTGATAAATATTTTATGAAAGAACCTACTTATAAAGTGATTTTTTATTGTAATCGACAGTTAGAACCTGGCGTACCTCTGCCTCCGCCCTCAGCCCTAAAACGCAAGATCCTCATCAAAAACAAACGTCTGAAGCCCGAAGTGGAGAAACAGGAGCTAGAACTGTTCAGACAAGGCCAATTTGTCATAGAAGATGAGGAGAAAGAAGATGCATCTGCTGTAGCTATTCCAGACAAAAAGGTATACTTACTTATCAGCCCTTTAACGTGCTAGAGCTGGCCTTTATTATGGATGGTTAAGGAAGATCGGCCATAACCCTCCACGCTAACCCAATGCGGATTGGAGGATATACACGGATGCAGATGCAGCCGGGACCAATGGCTTAACATGCCTTTCGAAGCACGGAGTAACAAGAGATAACAATTTTGTGGTCGCCCTTCCCGTAACCGACCCTTGCGAAAGTTGCTTAACAGCAACGATCGCGAGCCGCGGCGCTTATCTACTAAGCCACCGAGCTATTTAATAGCGATTAAATAAAAATGTTGTAATCGAATAAAAAAAAATAAGATGAGGGTCGATAAAGATTCTCGTATATTTAGCATAATATAGAAACCACCTGTCAAGATAGCAAAGAGTATTATATAAAGACCATTTTGCTAACTAGTAACAAGAAGTAAGCTAGAAAAGAAATATTTCCGGTAGAATTTTAAACCACTATATATATGTGATACGTTGTGTCAGTTCGTCAATTACAACTTTTGCAGCGAAACTACCGCTCTGTCAACTCGCTCGCAATTAACTTAATGGCGCTATTGTGTTGACACAACATGTTATAGTACCATATACCATCACCAGCCTATTACTTTGCCCACTGCTGGTGCTCAGACTTTCCTTAAAGATGAAATTGAATAGGGAAAATTGACAATGACCCACCAAGAGGGCCCAGTGCGGATTGGAAGGTATTAACGATTGCAAACTCAGCAAGGACCGCCTTCCGAAATTTTTTGATCACCCATCCTATGACCGGCCATTGCGAAAGTTACTTAACAACCGTCTCGCAGACCAAGCGGGCTAACTGCGTCATCGAGCTCTTTCGGGTCAATTGTATATTGAAATTGTGCTGTTTCTTTCAGCCGGAAGAAATAGTTGCTGAAGCGGCATCAGCGGGTGAAGATGCACCGCCTCCCGTGGCGTATACCGGCTCCACCACTAATGTCCATCCCTGGCTTTCCTCTATGGTCAACTACGCGCAACCCATCAAGTTCCAAGGGTTTGAGGAAGCAGAGAGTAAGACTTTAGTTACTTTACGTCTAGTAAGCCATGTAGTGGTCAGCGCCAGCTAAATGAAGGGCAAAACACTGGAACGATGTACACAAAAAAAAAAGAAACAAAAAATATAAGACTAATGCAGATACACCACATTAAAGAGTCTAATATTGCCTATGACAAAAGAAATTCCTTAATTAATGTTAGTCTGAGAATTCAGTTCTTTTAAATTCTCGGACAATCGGACATGGAGTAGTTGATCAAAATTATAAGCAATTTTTTTAAGCAAATTAATTGAATAAATAAATAAAAGTTTGGACTTGCCCCCCCCTCCCCCTGTTTAAATGGAAGCTAAAACTATTTTTGCACGGACCATACGGCAACTATAGCCATGGGTTCAATACTAGAAAATGGAATTTAATTTTTTTTTTTATATAATAGCCTTTTATATAGCAAGAAAATTAAAGTCGAGAAGTCTTTGATCCTTACATTTTTATATTTGTACGAAACTTCGGGGGTGCAAATCCGGCTAGCTAATGGCCGATTTTTTATTACCGAATAATTTACTGTAATAATTTATATATAATAAATCTACATTCATATTATAATTAATTATAAATTAATAATTTGATTTATTAATATTATACTTTGACGAACCTTCACTTAAAGAGAAACTTTTATAAAAGTTTTAATTTGACCTCAAGCTGGCACTATATAAGATTGAGAAAATATGAAACTGGAAATTGAAACTATCAGTTTCCATTGAGTATCCAATCAAGTAATTAATCAATTTGATACTTTATCCTCAGAACGCAACATCTACCATAATATGTCATCGTTTGCGGAGACCACGGGCATGAACTATCTGAAGACTCAGGCCATAGACTTCGTTAACTACAACAAGCGGCAGATGTCCAGGATATATCCAAAAGGGACACGAGCTGACTCCTCAAACTACATGCCACAGGTTTGTTATAAAAATATACAGGAGAATCATTTACCTCTTCAAAGTTTTTTTGTTGACCTCTAAGTATAGAAAATAATGGCATGTATATTGATATGATCTTGACGATATAAACAACGAAGATGTGAGACAGCACTAGAGTCATTTTACAGTTAATAATTTTCAATGAAACGGTAAAAAAACCAAATGTATTAAATTCACTTCACGTAATGCAAAAAAAGAAACTACAAAGAACCCATTACATTTATATATTAGCCGGTAAACTCAGCTTACCTACATATTTCAGACAAATTGCCAATATAGAAACTGACCAGAACTTTGCACTTCAAATCATTTATTGTCCAGGCAACTCCCATACAATATAGGTAACAAAGTAAAATTTCTCCCTCTGCGTTTGCAAGGGTATAAAAACTTGTTTTAAGCGCCTTTACATCTCGTAACATTTGTTTCTTTATCATATTATTTAAAGTGTCGATCAAACCCTATGAAAAAATCACATAGCAAAATAGACTAGTAGTCTTCGAATTGGTCTTTTTCACAACTAAAGAATTATACTTTTGGAGAATACGTATGCCTTTCACAAACTAGGAATTGGATAAAAGTGTTATTATTGATAATACCGGTCGTTTCACAGGTGTTCTGGAACGCGGGCTGCCAAATGGTATCGTTGAACTTCCAAACGTCCGATCTGCCGATGCAACTGAACCAGGGCAAGTTCGAATACAACGGCAACTGCGGATACTTGCTCAAGCCTGACTTCATGCGGCGAGCAGACAGAAGCTTTGATCCTTTCGCAGACGCGCCAGTAGATGGCGTTATCGCCGCACAATGCTCTGTACAGGTAAGTCAAGACTTTGATATTTTTCTTTAGATTTATCTCATAAAGTACCCCAAGTTATACTAATTTTACCCTATATCGATTTGTCTCTATTATGCTCTTCCGCTTCACATATGAGCATTATCTCAAACTGTATTTTTTTAGTGTACTATTTTTTTATTGTAATATACCTAGTTCTGCCATAAATACTGTTACAAATGAAATGGACAATTTTTTTTTCTTCAGTTTTATATAAATGTAAGTGTTTTATGTACACTAGAAAAATACTCTAAACAACTGTTTTACATAAAATTTTATTCAAAGTGAGCAGCCTTAGCGTTTATACAAGCTTTTAAACGTACCGGCCAGTCGTCAATACTTTTATGTACGTCGTCCATAGGGACGTTGGCCACTGCTCGCTCCAGTGATCTCTTGAGAGATTCCAAATTGTGGTGTCTCTTAGAACAGGCAATGTCCTCTAAGACAGACCACAATTTGTAATCTAATCGGTTCAGGTCTGGACTGGAGGAGGGCCAATCATCGGCTTTGATAAAATCGGGAACATTATCCGCGAGCCAAGCTTGGGTGGTGCGTGCCTTGTGACCGGGAGCCGAGTCTTGTTCAGTTCTATTTTAGCTGGAATTGTATCGAATGTCACTTATTAGAATAGAAAACCATTAAAAACTGTAGTTTCGTTCGGTTTCGATCCGTTTTCGATTCGATTTGAACAAAATTTATTTAGTAGAATTGGCCCCTTGATCTCTTGTGGTCATCAATAGAGGAGGTCTCTACGAACCTATTGATGGTACGATACACAAACATCCAACTGATACCTAGCTCCTGAAGGATCTTATAAATCACGGAAGGCTCCATTCCCACCTTATGCAGTGCAATAAAAGCGATTATATCTTCTTTAACACTTTAAAATATTTAATTAATGACAAAAATCTTGTTGCTTTACAAAGAGTAACTCTTAATAAATAAAATAGCATAGCAGCATTCCAAATTCGAAATTAAAAAAATTTGATAATCTTTACTTTTAAAATTGTAACAAAATTTATGGCCACACTAGGTACTATGATATTTTATTTCTACGTGAGTATTTATAAATATTGTAATCGGTTTCTATATGAATTCATTGATATATTCAAAAAAATATGAAAATAGTAAAAAATTGTTTGCATTCCATATAGATATACTAAAAGTCAACGGTAACGCTTTGGACATCTTTTACACTCGAACAGTAATTAAACATGAAAGAGGTCGATAGATTTTCGAAGTTTCTATACTGTGAAGACCATAAATAAGCCCCACGATTAGAAATTGTAATATTTAAGTACATGCTTTATATACTGGTCTTGCTTACAGTAAAATTTTCATCTAATTAAACGAAAATCGTACTCGCGGTTGACGCATCACGAATCATCATAATTCAAACTACATATTTTCTAAATCCGTTTTCGTCATGTATATCTGAAATCGACTATTGTCGTTAATGATAGGTGATAGCCGGACAGTTTTTATCGGACAAGAAGATTGGCACATACGTAGAAGTGGACATGTATGGATTACCCTCGGACACCATCAGGAAGGAGTTCCGTACACGCATGGTACCCGCCAATGGCCTAAACCCGGTCTATAACGAAGAACCATTCCTGTTCCGAAAGGTATGTTACACAAACACAAAACAAATGCCCATATGTATATCATCATATATTTTTGTCTTTTATATAATATATTTTTTTTAATATTTGTTTACTTCTTCTAAATTTAAAACAACACAAGTGTACCACATACATATACAGCAAGTTTATGTAGAAGACATGAGTCCAAACTAGGTAGACCCCGTCCTATAGAACTCCTGGCTTCTACCTCTCGAAATGTAAACACAGTATAATTTTAAAGAAAAATAAAATAAACAATAAAAAGAAAATACCGTAGGTGTGAGAGAGTGTGATTGGATCCAAATGTGTTCATTTGTGTGTTTGAGTTTTGAGTGCTTACTAATAAAGTTCTACCTATATCCATATCTTTTAAATCTTTAAGCCTTAATTTTCAAAATATTATCAGTTTCCTTGTAAGTTAGACTAGAAAGTATAATGTTACTACATAATGCCTTGTCATGGGAGCAATTTGTTGAATATATTGCATATTTTACCAATTTAAAAAGAAAAGAAGTCATAAGCGTAAGGTGTCCTATAAGCACGTCTAGGGTAATCTACTTCTAGTTTAAGCCCTTGAATGATCATTATCATATTTTATAAGGGAATGTTGTTTTAAGATGATATTTAAAAAGAACAAATGTGCCACTATCAACTTCGCAGCTCTATATATTTCTTCTGTGGGATATAGCATTGACTAAAAGAAACATATACTTAAAGAAATAGCCTTGAAGCTCTTTCTTATTGTAGCATTAAGGTTTTCGGTGCACCACCCTATGATTCATCATAAGTACAGTATGCTATCACCGATTGACAAAGTGTTAGTTAAATGAACCATATAGTTTTTTTGTCCACAACAGAACGTTGTAACTTGAAAACAAATGTTAATTTTCTTATTTTTTTACTAATATTAATATATTCGTTAAAGTCAATTTTCTTATAATGATACCCAAATATTTAATACCGTCCGAACCGGATATTTCAGGACATGAGCAAACTGACGAAAAACACGAGTATGCATTTAACTTATAGTTTTTAAAGTTAAAGATCAGAATTTTGAGTTACAAATAGAAAAGACAAAATATTTTTAAAGTATTAAGGATCAAAAAATGAGCTCCCAACCAGTGGCATACCAGATCAAAACGCCTCTGAGCAAAACCGTACACTGCACTCCAGTTTTCCCCATTAAAAGTGAGAGTTGAGTCATCTGCATATGATATAATTTTTCAGTTTTCCAGACATTGATTGTAGAGGTCCTTTATATAGCAGAGTCACTTTAATATATGTGCGTTATCAGTTAAGTCCTATTGTAGTATGATCGAGACAACTATTCCCTTTCGTTGGAGTGTACTAAGCCGGTATTAATCCATGGTAAATTAATAGAACAAGGATAAACAGTTTGCATTATCTATGCTAACATTAATGTCCACTAATAATTATATTTTTAATGTTTGCTATGTTCTAATATCTAGAGAAAAATATCTATCTAGAATATCTAGTGAAAAATGTATACATTTTTTTTTATATAAGGTGGACGGTGTATACGTGTAATTACGTACTGAGAACCTAGTATATTATTCAGACAGTTTGTTTCATCCAGCTGATTCTAACAATTGTTTACCATGAATATAACGCCTTCATTCTGATTACAACTATGTGTTACAATTTTGTATTCTTATAATTGTAACATAAATTTGTGTTACAATTATAAGAATAATAACCACCAGGTTTAGGAACGTTATTTACATAAGATAAACAGCATTCGCTAAATACATTGATGTCACACTTTATTTTTATGCTCGAGTATAGGGCACAGAAACTATCAAAATTGTGATACATTCCTAAATAGTATTACACCATAACATAAACACACTAAATAAATTATTATAGCTCTTTTTGGAAGATAATTCAATAATATTTTACTAATTTGAGAAAATCATTTATCTATTTCATATTATGTTATCTATATTTTCTGTTGTTACTTGGATGTTAAATAAACAAGGTTGCAATGCATTAACAATTTGCGAGACATATAATACTATAGTTCTATATTAAAACCTATACACAATCCATGAATGTAAAAAAAAGCGGTGGGCCTAAGATACAACCCTGAGGAAACCCCATTTGTCCCATCAGGTGGTATTACCAGATTTAGCTGTACTCCGGTTTGGTGTATACGACGAGAACGGCAAACTACTAGGGCAGAGGATTCTGCCCTTGGATGGTCTCCAGGCTGGGTACCGCCATATCTCTCTAAGAACCGAAGCCAACTTCCCGATGTCGCTACCAATGTTGTTCTGCAACATCGAACTCAAAATCTATGTACCTGATGGATTTGAAGGTATATTTTTTAATGTACAAAGGAATTAATATCAAAAGTATTGCTAATCATCAACAACCCTTCTACCTCTCCACTGCAGGGGCTTTGACCTTCATTATTGTTGGTTAAGGAGATTGTGTCATGGGCCTTCCACGCTGGTCCAATGCGGATTGGAGGGTATTAATTACTGCAAATACAGCTAAGATCAACGGCTTAACGTGCCTTCCGAAGCACAGAGTAGATCAAGATATTTTTTTTTAATCACCCATCCCGTGATCGACCCTTGCGAAAGTTGCTTTACAACAACGATTGCGGGCCGTAATGCTTATCACGAATTTAAATTTATCAACTAGGTGCATCAAAGTCTAAAGCTAATTCTGCTAAATTAACCAAAACTGCCGTCGGATGGCATAACATCGATGTTGAAAATTCCGCATTTTTGACGAAATTAAGATTAAAGACTTTTTTAAGATATTTGCTCATTACTCATAAACAATGTAATGTAATAATTTGTTTCCAAAATTTATTTATTTTCTAAGCCGTTATATTAAATTTAAGTCGTGTTAGGCTTAAACGTGTAACTGCACCTATCGCGTTATACTGCCAGACGCAAGATATAACATAATTTTCTAATAAAAAAATGCTTGAAAAATCAATTTTCCCCGAGGAACTCTATGAGTTGAGGAATTTTCATCTTAATGGAAAGTTTACAATATTCGTAAAAATATTTCTTTCGGGTGTTTTAGTGGATTGCCTTAACATTGATTAAAATAGACCCATTAGTAGCAAAAAATAAAAAAGCGCTTGAAAGATTCGTCAGTCCTGTAAGGTCCTGGGTAGCTCAGTGGTTAGAGCAGTCGCCCGGATTGCGAAAGGTCGTGATATCGAGTCCCATCTCAAAGTACCTTGGGGAAAAGTGGATTTTTTAAACATTTTTCACTAAGAATATTGTCCAATATAGCATTGTCTATGCAAACTTGATAAAATATAATTATTACATAATTTACTATCATCACTTCTTATAGATTTTATGGCTGCGCTATCGGATCCTCGAGCGTTCATGGGAGCTGCAAAAGAGAGGACAGACAATATGAAGCAGATGGGTATAGAGGAAAGTGGACCAGAAAAGAAAGTTCAAATTGAAGAGAAGAAAGAAGGTTAGTTGTAAGCTTACTATGTGGTTACACTCATAATTTAACAAAGGGGAGGATTTTAAAACGGACTAAATAAACTTCAGGAGAATTAAGCGAAACTAAAATTTCAATATTTTTACTGAAACAAAAATTCCTGAATTTCCTTTGCTTACGGCCAGCAACTTGTTTACTGTACATTGCTGGTTGCAGTGTTAAACCTATAAAAGATACACATAAATAGATTTGTCGTCTAAATATAAATTACTAGCTAGTTTCCCACGACTTCAACCACATATGATGTAGTTCATTGTTAAAGAAATATTTTTGCATTTCATATATTTGAAATTAATAAAATATTCTTTTTAAAATGCTTAAAAGATAAAAGACAGACTTCATTGAAAAATAAACTGTCCGAGTGAGTATTTCACGCAGGTAGAAATATTTTAACAGACATAGTATACATTCAGTGTGATGATAATCCACACTAATGTGCGAAAGTAAAGTCTGTTTGTGTCTGCTACGTGTTCATGTCTAAACTACTGAATTAATTTTATTGAAATTTGGGACCTTGGAAAAAAACATGGGATTGATTTTATTACAAAAATAACGAAATTTACGCGAGCGTAGTCGCGGGCGGAAATCTAGTTATAAATAACGTTTACTTTAGCGTTTACATGTAAACAGAGGAAGCGATCGTAATTCGAATGTTTACTTCAAACTTGTATATATTAAATCAACTAACGCAATTCGTTTTCGCATACCTAGTTGAAGTACGATTGAACTTTTTTAATTATCGTGAAAACAATGGCAAATTATTTTTCTGCGAAATAGGATCATCACCACAAAAATCGTAAAAATATCATAAACTTAAAAAAGTAGCTAAACTTGAATTATTTATACTATGACACTGTTACTTACCTAAAGATATTTAAAAAATGACAGCTTAATATTTAAAAAAAAGTCAGATTAATGTTATATCCATGTAGCAGCAACTAGACACGTGGGTTACATAATGCTTCTGATCAATGAAAACATTTATTTTATATTAGGTATACCTACATTACCTTATATACATTCAGATATTTTTGTATTGCGTTTAACAGAAAGTTTGAAATCAACATTAATATGTAGAACATTAATATATTACAAACGACATATACCTATAACAAATTAAACTAGACCATTCGCTCGTCTAATAAATTTAAAAATAACTGCCAGTTTATTGATCCGACGCAAAACATACTAAACATGCACCTATAGGTAGCTAAAAGCTAAGTTTTTGTTCTAAATTAAAGAATTACTCGTTTCATATCATTCACGACATGGATTGCTTATCCAGCAGTTGCTACCTTTATTATTGTCTTCCATTTCAACGGGAAGGCAACGTTATAATAAACTGCTAATAATAAAATTTTAATTATCAACACGTGAAAGTTCTAAAGACTTGGAAGAATTATTTGTTTAACGTCAACAAATATTACGGTAATAACTTTTTAAAATCTCATACGGGATTAATGTAACGAAACTTATGCTTGGAAGCTGCCGCGTACAGCATTGCAGAGGAAAAAAAAATCAGTGTTGTGGACAATGATAAGGCGGCAAAGAATTATAAGAGGAGGTTAGATTATAATTTTCCACAATCGGGAGGACACATTCTCGATCCTACAAAACTTAGCAAGGATGGAAGAAATACTGGGAAAAATCGTTTTAACCATAGAAGAGTGCTAGTTTTTGATAATACAAATCTGGAAACGGTAACATCGGAAGATCATTTGTCGTACAAAGGACAGAAACAAATGTGCAACTGACTGAAGGACTTCCGTTAGATGGAGACGTAGTTCCATAATTAAAAGAAAGTTTTTCAAAAGAGTATATTAAGCCTTACGACGCCCACTGCTGGGAATGTGCCTGCCTCATGGGTCCTCAGTCCTTAATTAAAGCAAAATTTGCCAAACAGTTATGACTTTTAGTAAACGATAAAGAATTAGCAAAACATTGATTATAAAATTAATGTTTTATTTCAGAGCCTCCGTTGGTGTTCGAGCCAATCACAGTGGAATCTCTACGGCAGGAGAAAGGTTTCGTGAAGACTGGCCGCAAACAGCAGAAGGATTTGGACGCAATGAGGAAACGTCACACTAAAGAAAAGATGACGTTGCAAAAACAACAGTGCACAGCGTTGGAGAAAATGATAAAAGGGAAAAAGTGAGTTTGAACATTTTTGAAATGATCGACCCCTACTGTACGTATTGAAGGCTCGAACCATAGGATTTAAGCACTTTTAAATGTATAAATACATACGTATAATTTTACAGGTGTTACCTATTTACAAGGCCATTTAATACTCATCAAAATGATAAATAATGTTAGATCTTATAGATAAAAATTCTTTAAGATTTTTTAAAGAGGAAATTATTAAAAATACCCTTCGTACGTAATTAATGTCGACCCAATTCTCATTTGTTTTACGTCCCTCACTGCAGGAGCTCTCCACACTGGCCCGATGCGAATTGTAGGGTATTAACGATTGCAAATGAAACCGGGACCAACGGCTTAACGTTTCGTTCCGAAGCACGGATAAGCTCGAAACCATATTTTTTGGTCACCCATCCCGTGATTATGAATGTTACTTAACAACAACGAACGCGGGCCGCAGCGTGTTTGCTACTTAGAGAGTATAAACCTCTAAGGTCTTTTTAATATAATAAACCAAGCCTAAATTACCTTTCTTGTCCAAATTTAGTAAGGAGCAGTTGAGCAACGATGCAACGTTCCGTAAATTGGTGAGCGAGCAATCAGCTGCTTGGAGCGAACTGGTGGCCAAACATCGGGTAGAGGAGTGGTCTAGTGCTCGTAGCAGACTCAACGAGCAACGGGACTTACTCAAGAAGATGATGGAGCAGACACAGCTTGCGCAGATGAAGCAGCTCGAGGCCAAACACGAGAGGTTACATTTATGATTATTATTTTTGACTAGGAATTTGCTCGTAGCAGACTCAATGAGTAACGGGACTTACTCAAGAAGATGATGGAACAGACACAGTTTGCGCAGATGAAGCAACTCGAGGCCAAACACGAGAGGGGTAACCTCTCAGGGGTGGGTGAGGAGTACAATCATTTTTTTGCTAGGTTTTTACACATTCTGGACCTGGATATAAAGGGAGTAACTGGGGAACTTGCCCGGGCGCCAGTGTTTGGGGGCGCAAAAATCATCATAATACCTATTCACCAGCTAAAAAAATAATGAGCTCTACATATCTCTTCATACACATTATCGGCTACGATGGGGCACCGACATGTTTCAAAATCCTTTAATAAAATAAAAGAAAAATATCATATACTGCAAAAATATGATAATATACCTAAAATCTGGCTTCACGGAGCGTAGGACGTAGGAGCTTAGGGTCAGAGAAAAGGGCACCAAACGAAGTTTCTGCCCCGTTAAAAAGAAAACATAGATCCAGGCCTACACATTGTATATAATGGGATATAATCTTCCATGAGAGTTCAATGCGGATTAATGGGTGTTAACAACTGCAGATGCAACCGGGACCGATGGCTTAAAGCAAGGAGATACTCGAGAAAATAAATTTTTGTCGCCCATCCTATGACCGTCTCTTATGAAAGTCTCACTTCCGCACTGAGCTTGATAGACTGCTTTCGTATGTTAATAATTCCAAGTTGATATACTGACTCGAACATATTTCCTAATCTAAGTGACACTTCAAGTTTGAATCCGTGTTTTCTAAGTAACGACCATTCTTTCCTACTGACTCAAACTACTACTACATATTACACAGATAATATAAATTCATTATCATCATATCAGCTAGAAAACGTACACTGTTGGACAAAAAAATCTCCTTCGAAAATCGTTCGCACTCTATCCTAATCCAATGCTTTTGGCGATCCTGACTTAATAATAAAAAAAAAATCAGACTACATCACATACATTGCTCAGATTCCTAGATGCGTAGCTAAAGCCCGTTGTTACGGAGGTACCACAAAAACCAGACCCGAAACAATAAATATATTTAGAAACATTTTCAACATTGACCAAAAGGATGTTCAATCCCTTGGACCTCAAAGATGGCGACACCTTGAAATCGGCATGTGATATAACTTGACATAATCACAGCATTCACTAAAAGTTAGCCAATCTTGTTTTTAGAGAGTTAAAAGACATGAACGCCCGTCAAGCCAAAATCAGTATGGAGACAAGCAAGGAAGTGGCAAACGACAAAACCCTGAAGACAAAACAGGAGAAGGATCGACGACTTAGAGAGAAGAAACAAAACAACACTAAGAAATTCATGGATGAACGCAAGGTAAGGGCTAGTACACAAATATAAATAAGTTACGACGATGAAACCAGTGCAATGTGCTCAGGGGCGTCGCAGGGGGGGTGGGGGGCGGGGCAAGTTGATTATGGAGAATGAGCTAGCTAAAGTCGACAGCACATGAAGCTTTTTAGTTGTACGGCAATTGTAAGAACAACAGTACAGAGTTCAATTTGTAAAGTTATACGAGCTCTTGACTGTAGAATAAATAAAACTAGTAAATAAGTTATTATTACATTTATTAGAAAAATATAATAAAAATAATTTGGGGTATTGAATGTGCAACACTCCCCTTCTCCCACTTCAACAATATCATAGAGCAGAGCGTAGTTGAGTGTAGAAATTGGTAAGTTCATTCGAGTTTCGACTTACGGAAATGTTCGATCAAGCAAGTGAAATCAAAGACCTTAGTTAATTTACATTAGGCAACTTTTTTAAAATCTCTAACGTCCCTTTGGCGACGCCTTTGGTGCACCTTTGATATAGAATGTCCCTTGCACTTTACCACAGCCGCATTTGTTATTTAATATTCAAAGATGGCGGACGAGATTGACGTCAATCATTTAATTTTTTTTATTGCTTGCAGACCCAAACTATTAAACAAAATCGTGAGAAAGAAAAGTTGAAAGTCACCCATGACAAACAAATGGAGGAATTATCCAAGGATATTGACAATGTGAGTAAATCACATACAATCATTATTACTATTTAATTAAAACTACAATACCACAATATTTAGCGGGAGCCCTTTAGCTGTGTAACTTCTTATAATAGACTAAAATTTTATTAAATAATTTATTTATATAACAAAAGTACAATTAATTTTATAGCTCATTGAAATGTACAAGATGGAGGAGACAGAATTCGAGATGGGCACCAAAACGGAATTCTTTGCATGAAAATACCCCGACATAGCTCCACTATTGGAGCAACTGACTTAGAAAGTGAGTGTTTAAAGTGATCTCTCTTAATGTTTCTCAGTATATTAACTAATGTAAATAAGCAGCTAATATTATTACAGTCTAGAAAGATCATAATGATATAACTATCTCAGGTTATGCACATTTGGACTGTCCAACTGAAATGGGCTGGCTGTGTTCTCTAGCAGCAAAGGTAGTTTGGCTCACTGTTGAACTTTGTCTATATTAAAGGCCCAATTATAGGCCAATTGACATCATATGTGTTATAAAGTTATAACGGATACCATTAACTATGAAATAACATGACTTTAACATATTTAACATGACTTTATTCAAGTATAAGAATGAAAAACTTGTTTTAGACATATTAAATTATAAGTAAAACAGATCAATTTATTAATATTTAATAATTTACAAAGTACGTAATATAAAATCTTTGCAAATATTATTTTTCCTTTTGCAATTTGAATAGATTAGAACCACTTTCAACTAGCAATACTATAAATTGAACTGTAATCGCTATAGTATGTAGGTAATATACGTAACCATAAAATATCTGTAAATTTTTTCCTTATATTCAAACACAAGTCATAAAACTAATTGATATTAGAATTGTATTAATTCTGCCTTTGTAGTAAGACTATTGCTTAAATGTTCACTTAAAATAGGTATATTGTACCTAGTTAAGCATCTACTTTAAGTATCTATTAAATGGTAATGTAGTTTCATAGTAAGTACATATATTTATCGAAATTTGAAACGACAAAAATTATATTGACATAAAATTTCAATTGAAAATAAAGTGATTTTTTCGGCCTTTTCAGAAAAATAAGTATAAGATATTATTGGTAAAACGAGTAATAATTATCGTAATTATATAGTGTACCCTAATATAAAGTGTATTTAATGTTCTTTTTACGGGTATATAAAATACAGTGCTGGATTAAGTAAGCCAAAGCGGGGCCTGCAGTAAATTTTTTGAGGGGGAGCTTTGTTTGCTTGAGATTAAGTGTATAATTGAAATAAAACAAAATTCTTACAAACAGACTTTTGTAAAATTTAATTGTAAAAGTAACCACTAATACAATTATTCAGGATCAATTTTACTTGCAAAGTGAGTATACATTATGGTTCATTTTAGAAAAATTGGTATGGCTCATCATTTTAGAAAAATTGCGGATATTCATCCAATCACCTATTATATCTTTCGTGATGACAACGAATAATCGGAATCAGTAACTTTGCAAACGAAACATAAAAGTCATCCTTTCTTTCTGAATAATATAACACAACTAATATGTGACTTGAGTTTTATTTGTCAGTTTATATTTACACTTAAAAATATAATTTGAGGCAGAAGCGTAACTTAACTTAATTTTAATAATAATATATCTTGCATTTTTAACACTGACGGAAAAATATTTTTTGGGCGAGACCCTTGTACTAGACCATACCGAGGCTCCCAATCGCACGGGACCCGTAGCATTTGCTACTTTGGTACATGGCTAATCCGGCACTGATAAAATATCACCATCAATTGGATGTATTAAAATTCAGTGACTTCAATATACTTATTACACTTTTAAAAGTATGCAAATTATCTTCCTATTCATATCAATATATATTTTATTTATTTATTAATACGTAACTAAAGTGAGTAATTGATAGTATAAAGACAAATCCAAGTTAAAATCTAGAAAGGTTTATGTGACGATTGAGCTTATACTGTAAAAAAATAGGTAGGCATCTACTGGAATTAACGACTGCCGACCACGCGGAATCATCTGTGGCTAAAATGGACTTCTGTTATTAATGATCAAAGTATATTCATAATTTTATGATATTTGTGCTCTTATTGTTAGTTTAATTTAATATAAAGGCGGCAGCCTGGTATGTGTAGGAAATAGGCATTTACTTAAGTACCTACATAGATTAACTAGTTGATTTTTATTGCAATTATCAAGTGACATTAGAAATTGAAATATCAACTTTATAACACATTATAGATATTTAAACAGTATCTTTATTGAGAAAACTATATATAAACTATATTCTATATCATGTTTTAACACCAAGTAGGTAGGTAATAAAGAAACTTAAACTTGATGTCTGGCAAATATTGACTGATCTTGATTCAAAACAATGTTTTGAACGAAAAATGGGTGTAAATACCGATTTCCTATTCTTATTTATGTTACGCTGCGGCCTTTGAAATAAGAATTTAATATGAATGATCATTCAAAAATATTTAACTATGTATGATAAGTATAAATCCATTGAGCGACTTCATTTCACTGTTTTTGGATATTATAAAAATGGTACTTATCTAGTAAGAGTAAACACGGTGGTTCAAATAATTAATTACTCAATAATGTACAAATATATAAAGCTAACATTTAAATAAAATTTATTTGTGTACTTCTTAGGGGATCATTCCATTTAAATTTTATGTCGATTTCACATTACGCAGTTAGTGGACCAATGTTTCTTACTTCGATTTCATATAATAATTGATTTACTGTTAAAGAGCTTTGCCTAAAGACTATCGTATCTATACCAACAAGGCAACTCATTTCAAAGACCACGGTAACATCTCGATAGATGGCACCACTTCAAAGTATTAAATGGTTCAAGTAGATAAAGAGATCTACTCTGTGAACCAAAAAATATCTAAGAATAAATTGAGAAACTACAACTTTAGTATGTGATGTAACGCCTACAAACGAACTTTCAATTACTACCCTTCGAAATAAGATGCATAAAAGTACCTAGGTATATCAATTTAAATGCTATGTATAAAAAATATAATTGAAAATATAAAACAGAAATATGTGTGTCCTTGAATGTAAATTTATATGTTCTACCTTTTTGAAAATGGACCATAATCATTATGTATTATTTTATATTATTTCATAAGATATTTATGGCACTTCGAGAAAAAAAAATAGTGCATTAATAATATAGTAAAAGCCCTTTATTTGATTGACATATAGTAAGTAATAATAAATTATGTTTAAGTATATTGGTACTTCTGATTAACGTAGGTATATTATAAGAAATACTGAATGTTTTATTTCGTGGAAATCAAGAAAAATATAATTACCAAAGAAACTTTAGTATATATTTAAAACTTTATTGATTAAATATAGAATATGTATCAATTTCAACGTGATTTCAATTAAGTATAATAAGTACAAGACTCTTGAAGTCAATATTCAAATAATGTTTATTCAATATTAATTACATGTTTTAATAAATCGAATATTACGTTATTTATATATTCAAAAGTTAAACATTAATACATTCTAGTCAATTTCATCATAGAATTTATTTCTGACTATGTAATTTATAGAATCTTGCACCTTATTGTTGTAATACTATAAAATTATTAATTTAATACTTTAAAAATTAATAGAATGTAAAAACTCTAACATTTGAATAATTTTGAATATTATTAAAATGTTAGAGTTTTATTTATTTAATTAGAAATATATAATCATTTACTATAATTATTATTATTAGATTTTAAAAAAGATAGTGAGAATAAATATAAGTGTTTCATATATGTGTATGTTTAAATGGATTATATTTCAAATTTATTAATTGACATGTATGGCACTTTATTGACTTTGGATAATAAAATTATTCATATTGTAGATATTACGATAACTGTTTAATGAAAGATTTTCTAAATATTGACGAAATTATCATTATATTATTATTATATACTGAATTATGTAGTTAGATTTGGGAAATGTGATAAAAGCAATTAAACATATTTGGCCTACCTTATTTGATTAAAATTTAAAATATTGTAATTTTTATGTGCAAAATTATACTTTATACTGTTTTGTGTTTTAAATGTGTTCATCTGCATTTTATAAAGTATGGCAAAGAGTTATAATTTATTTGATTTAGTCGCCATCTGCTGGTGATAAAAATATAGAAGAACAATTTATTTTCCATTGCTAATGGAAAATAAACTGTACTCTGTGCCATGAACATAAGTAATATTTTCATTTGCAACTAAAATTCACTCTTATTTTAGACAAAATATAGATGATTTAATGTAGTAATCATTTATTGTTGTTGAGCACTATTCACTCATTATCTTGCACATTTTGAAATTTAAATAGCACGTCATGCATTTTGATATTTATAATTGCATACAGAGATATTCATTATTTAATATGGAATTTCCTTGTCGCCTTTTCAAACTAAAAAATTATATATTTTTTTCAATTGTTTTATAAAAGAATTTGAGCTAATTTAGGAAGGTGACCTAATACAATTGTGTCAATTCACACTTGTAATACACAATTCAAAAATTCATATGAAAATGCATCATCTGGAGTGGGTCTTGGCCGAAGGAAGTGGAATCTCTTCAGTAACCACATGTTTAGAATTGAAAATAAGAAACATTTAACATTTTATTTATTGGTCTTGGCCGAAGGAAGTGGAATCTCTTCAGTAACCACATGTTTAGAATTGAAAATAAGAAACATTTTATAGTTTAATCATTTGCTATGTATTATTGTCGACAAAGTGATACCATGCTTAGTGTAAGAATATTGAAAGAAGTAAAGCATATATTCTAAACTCATTGTATTGACATATAGACACATTGCTCTAAAAATCATTGGAATTTGGTGTGATTTAGTAAAGAGTACTTAAAGCCAAATTTCATGGTTTAATAGTTACCTATGTAACATAATGAAAAATGTGTATCCAAAGATTTGTTTATTGATTAAAGTACAATAATTAAATCATAACATTTGAAATATATCTAAGTGTTTTATTTCTACTATTAAAAATACCTAAATATTATTTACTGGATTTAAGACTCCTTATCTTCTTTCTTTCTTTGTACAGACTCTCATCTTGGACTGAAACAAAAGTTATTCTATTATAGTTCAAAAATAACAAAACTTAAGACTTAAAAATAAAAATGTTATATTATATACAGCGTGTTTGGTAATAACTGTATAATCCCAAATATGGCACATACGGTTTGATGAATAGAACCCAGAAAAATGATCACTAAGTCTGAAACCCAGCACATGACCTAGATATTTACCCTAAAAACAGCTGTTGTGTTGTATTTGGTCATTGACTTCATGTGCCGAACTAGTTTAAAAAATAACAGAAGCTAAATAAATCTAACGATAAATGCCTAGAATAAATATGCATCCGAGAGTAATTTATTATTTCAAAAACAAAGAAAAAGTTAGTAGTAAATGACTTTTAACCATAAAAGTACACCAATCTTGTGATTAACGGTGTTTCAAAAACTATTATTAAGAAAACGTCTGTAATAATATTGACTGTATTATTACAGAAGTTTTCTTAATAAAAAAGAAATTGCAAATACTTTTATTGAAGTTAGATATCTGCACTATTGCTCACATTAGTCTATGCAAGAAGGAACGACAGAGACATAAAATCGACGACGATGTGTATTGAGAAACTCGGGTTTCTGATGTGTCAGTAAGGTATGTAGATTAATTGCTTTGAAGTTTTGTTATTTACGGACTTACACAATGATATTAATAATCTAAATATCTCGCTTGTTCTTAGTTTAAATGATAATTAAATAAAGATAATTTAATAAATAATATCTTTTCTTTTCTAATTTAATCAATAATTTTTATGCCTTATAATTTTGTTAATGACTTGGTCTTAAATTTTAATATTGTATTATGGCCTTTTTTTCTTTTGTAACCGTGAAAAGCGTAAACAAAACTGTAATAATAAGTAAACAGCCTTATTATCAATTTCGTCAGTAAAAAAAAATAGTATAATAAGTTACATTGAAATTTCATTGTTTAAATAAAAAAAAATAACGATTTTTTGGTAGGTAGGTTACCTAACACAGAATTTGATGACGCGGAACCCTAAATCGGTGCACTTTTGATTTAGGTACCTACATTGGTGTTCGAGTTGCAATAATTACCTATGTAGTTTTGGTCATCGCTTCAGTCGCGTCCGAGGCTTTCATCGGTGCACTTGTGAGTTTTCAGAATTTAGAAGGTCAACTTACGTTTTCGTTCTTTCGGGACTTTTGGTTTGTTTTTCATACTCGTCCTGTTTACCTGTGTGTTGTGTTTGTGTGCGGTCAGTGCAATGAGTTCGTACTCAAATGCCTAATATTACGAGATGATATTGTGTGTTGGTGCTTGTGACGGAATCTTGCTGCGGCTCGGCGGCTTTATGACGCCACGTGTCAGGAAGATCTGTTAAATCTATTAAATCGAGACAGAGGATATGATTTTACGTCGAGAGTAACACGGTCTTTGTCGAATCGAATGGAGATGTGTGTTTTATGCGGTGGCCGGCATATCGAGACCTTGGACTGATAAAGTGGAGGTGAAGTGTAGGTAATGTTGACAAGTGAGAGCTGAGAGAGTGATCAGAACGCTGCCTCTAGGTATGTACCTGTTTAATCTTAAATTGTTTTAATTACAAGTAAACTCATACGCAGTCGAGTGCGCGCGTCGGCGATATCAAAGTGTATTCTCGGAAACGAGAGAGAGTGAGAGGTAATGAGAGAAAGAGAGAGAGAGAGAGTGAGTACGCCGGGACGGCACTTATAAGCTTTCAGGGTTGTAGCATATTAATTGAAAACAAATTTTTCAAATATTTGTATGAAAATCTCAATTTACGTGAAATTGTTGTTTGACATATTCATTATGTTCTTCGTGCTAAGTTGTATGGCCATGTTTCGGGATTATACATATATTTCCAAACATCCTGTACTATATATATTATAGGGGTGTGATAGACCTTCCATAACATCCAACAAAAATAAGGAGAAAGAAAAAAGGACAAACAAACCTTGCGAAATAAGATAGATAACTAGACTTTATATAACCAATAAACCAAGAGTACTTTGAAAATTGGTTTATATATTGTGGTTGAAATAATAAATAAATCCAAATTAGTTATGAGTAAATCAATGTATAGGTGGGTGCAGGCAGTAAACGTCACTATGGCTGTAACAGCTCAGATATATAAACTCATTTATCTATGTAAGCACAGCATGATTAATTCAAGAACAGAATCAAATACAACCAATATTGACTTCTATGGGGGCCTAGTGAACTGTGTATTAAACCTAACTAACAAACAGCTTCTGAAGACAGTTCTAAATATTCAAGACTATCTACATGATTGTTTGAAATTAGGATCAGTCAATAAATCTTTAATAAAATAAACTTGTTACAGACGGCAGCTACAAATGTTTTCGTACTCTGTACAAGAAGAAAGAAAATAAATATCTTCAAAACGGTTATGTGCATCCACTACAAAATTTATTTAAAGTAATTTTGAATTATCCAACATTTTTACCTATTAATCATTCAAGATGTTTCCTGGCTGATAAGAAGAAAAAGAAACACCCTCCTCTAATAGAAGTAATGACATTTACAAAAACTGTGTTATTGCCAAATCAATACATATTAATATTATAAATTAATCATGTGTAACAAATAACGGAATATATGAAGTAACTTTCCATTACAATATTTATCCTAAAAATAATAAAAAAACTAATCTTACAATGATATCTAAAAATTAAGCAATACACTAATTTTGAAATATAGTGTGTAGAAAAAATTACCTATTAAGATAGCTGGAACACCAAGTCCAAGCATTCTATCTGCTATATAATTAGATACCTTTTAATAAGCTTTTTTAGATTTGAACCAATTGAAATCTTAGTGACATAAACTGCTTGAGACTTCATTGTAGAAACTCACACAAAGACCCCTAAATCGATTACTAACTTTTTAAAGCCTAGTGATAGGCAATCATAATTTTATTTTATTTCTAAATATTAAAATGTTATATGAAAAAGGTTACTCACTGTAGGGATCAAATCTTAAAATTTCTAATTTGTCTGCAAGTCTTTCTCTAATGGCATTAAACTTATGACCACTCACGACACTCTCCATCAGCACCATTACATGTCTAAAATTTACAGATATAAATTGAAGTAAAAATAACTTTATTTTTTATTAGTCAATAACTTAAACGTATTGACAATTTCAGATACAACGATCAACTTACTTGCTCTTTGCTTTTTTCAATAATATATTTGTAAGGAACATTTTAATAACAATCTTTCAATCGCTGATATTCATTAAAATAGCCGCTATGTAATTCAATTATACATGATTTTAGTTTGGCCGATTGTCATGATATGCCCAATATGCCCATTTGATTTTGACATTAGGGATGTCAAAAAATAATAGAAATCGATTTTAATACCTGATTTTATTTTTATAAATAATAGATTAACAATGAGGAAGTATTTAAAAAAAAGAAAGCACTAAAAAAGCACCTCTACTAAATGGCGACTCTAGCAAAACTTGATTTTTGCAGGAAACGTACAAGACCAAAGGCAGCCATTTCTGTTCCTTTTAAGTAACATTTAAAAAACTGAAATTTGAAAAGTTCGAAACTTAGATGTCAATACAAATACGATAAAGTACAAATAGAATATGAGTTGTTTATTGAGTTTTGAAAACTAATTTACTTTTAAACGTGAAAAAAAACGGGAAGGGTTGTCATGGAAAAATCAAGAACGTACCGTAGCGACATCTAGTTTGATTTCGGGAACTAATGTTTTTTTTAAATACTTCCTCATTGATAAATAATTGATTGAACATTTTTTTTTAATATAATTTAATCAATTTTAACTGATTTTTAATTTGCAACTCCCAACATTAAGACTTCTCATCATAAAAGCCAACCACTTTGGCATTACTGAAGGAACACCTAATACGTTTTATTTTACATTTTCTCCATAACATTACTTTAACTCCATCTGTGCACCTATGATGGCATTCCTTCTATGTTTTTGAAACAGTTAAATTGATTCATTTAATCATACATTCATTTAATTCACTAGATGTAGTCAACGAATTGTACGCTATTACCGACATTTGGTTACGTTGATCAAACTTAATTTTTCAAACATTAACACGGGTGTAAACAGAAAACGAAAATAAATACATATAATTTTTTCTGTCAGTCTTTAATATACTATTACCGATAATCACATTTATAATATTGCTTAAATTAATTATCAAATAACAAATATTTCCCGTTTCTTCTCCTTACCGCAAACATAAAGTGACGTAACGCCACTTTTAATTACATCAGAACTTTAAGAATTAAACCATTAGCATTATAGAACGATATAAGTTTGAGAGTGCTGTAACGTCATAGCGATGGGATGACAAAAAGTGATGTACTCGTGGAAAATTTTTATTTTCAAATTTTAAAAATATTAAATAAAATAGTGATACTATAACATATTTTTAGAGATATTTCATGTATATCTATTAAATAAAAAAATTAAAAAGTTGTCTACACCTCTATTACGAAAGTTTTTGTGACAAAAATTTTAAGTCTTATTAAAAGTTTAATTTTTAACAACATATGTATCTACGACTTAAAAGACAAACACAATTAAAATTACAAAATCGATTATTTTCTGAAGAAATTAATTATTTATTAATTGATGTTACATGCTATGATGAAATCGATTGTTGAAAATTGTTTTTTTATGTAAAATGAGGCATCCCTATTCGACAATGATCTATTTTTTGTTCCTCTACCTTATGAGTAGGCAAAGGACTTTCATCCATACAGCCACATAATACACAATAACATCCACAAAGGCATTTATCAATCTTTTCTTTTTTTGTAATTGTTTAATGGCTTTGGAAATATTCATCCAGCTACATATTGAATACATTGTTCTTTACAAAGGCTTATTATCCTTTTTATTTTCTATACAGCGTTATAAGTTCTCATATCTCATTACAAGCTGAAATTATAAACTTGTTGATACGTTTGTACGTATCTTCATTTTCTAGTAGAGATGACAAGATGCGGGGAATATATATCTTCATTAGGCCATCTACTAGAAGCAACCTTTGGATATTGACGGCAGGACAATGCAGAATTAAATGATCTAATGTGGCTGCTATTGACTCCATGAAGCTAAAGAAATAACTGGAGACCAAACTCCTCCATACCTACTTGAAGCATAAAAATTTGACATTGAATGTTTTCTATTTCATTCCTTAGGTCCCCCTCCTCTCTTTCTAATAGGGTGTCCAAACAACTACAAAATAAAGGAGACAAGTTTAAAGAGTAGAACCTTAACCTTTTTGCCTTAATCAAAAAAAAAGTATAAAATTTTCCTAGGTAGATGTAAAGTTTACACATGAGATTAATAGATCTAATCTAGATTCTCCGTCAAATATGAAATTGAATTTATTAAAGTTCCGTACAAAAAGCCTTTTTTCCGAATCTACTGGACCAAATCTTGTAAAATTTGTCATCCTTTGACCTAAACACAGATATACAAAATAATTAGTTTTTATAAATAAGGGTTATTTTCGGTGGACAAATGAGGAAATTTAAAAAAGTTTTGCTAGCCTTACTGTGTCGTACGTATAATAGTATTTAATGAGTCTCGTTAGGGGGTTCTCAAATAAAAAAATATCAATTTTTGAGTTTGATTAAAACTTAGCAGTGTGGGAATTAGAGTTGGCAAAAACTCTTCTTAATAATCACCAGTCTATTAATGTACCCACAATGGGTCCATTCCGGATTGGAGGGTTTTTACAACTGCAGATACAATCGGGACAAACTGCTTAACGTGCCTTCCAAAGCACGGAGTAGATCTAATATGCAAAGTGAACTACAAGACTGCAGACTACGATTGTCAGCTTACCTTCGTTCCGACCGAATTAAAATGGAATAAGCACCCAGTAAATATTTCACCCTAAAGTCAATTTACTGATTTACATATCACATTCTTCTCTTACATTCTCAGATGTAATTGTCATTCTCAGATAAAAATAAAACAACATTATGTTATTTTTAAATTTAATTTATATGTGACTAAAAAAGTACAGTTTTGATGACAATAAATACTATTTGATTGTTACCATAGCAAGTCTATCGGACAACCTACGACGAGATGTTGAAGGTGTAGAAGGCATGGTAAATTAAATTTTAGATCAGATTGTCCCGACTGGAAAAAAAACGAATTATGGTTATTTTGTCTAAACCCTGCCATTAGGGAATTAAAATATTTCGAGACCAATGTTTCATGACATATTACATGTGGTAAAATAAAAATATTTTATTCCTTCCAAACGTGAACTTGTGGCTCGACGACCTTTTTCGCTTGTGTGTCATCTTAAATACGCGTACTTAAAAAGGTCGTCGAGCCACAAGTTCGCGTTCTCACTCGCAAGCTTGTATTCTATTTTTACTACCTAAGAATTAGTACCTAATTAGTAGAATATAGACTTTTACTTACCACATCAGAATAAAAAGGAATTGTTGTATGCTTTAACCGATTCTCTATTATATAATCAGTAGCCACAAAATGATTACTGCATATTTTTTCAGTTTTATAAAACTTATTTTTTTATTTGACACCTTATTAGATCCTTGAGAAAACTAAAAGTAAAATAAAAAATATTAAGTTCAGTTTTATTGTTTATCCTTTATCTTCTTTTCATGGTCACCATATTAGTGTTTGTTTATTTTTATTTTACAATGTGAACTGTGCTTTTATTAGAAAATTTCTGAAATATGCTACTGTAAACAATTAAATCATATATTACTTTAGATACCATATTATTGTAAATTATCAAAAATTGAAGGATTCTACGTTAAAAACATTATTTTTATAAAATGCAAGCAGTCACCAATTATAGTAACTTACGACTCACCTGTGAAATATCAAAAAACGTCCATTTGCTTCCGCAACCTAGGACTACACATTTCAGAACCATTTTTCACGATTTGATAGCGAGAAACTTTTAAATATGAATCACAATTTTCGAGTCAACGAAATTAGTAATTGTCATTCGCCATATTAACACACACGAGGTTGCCATTTTTTGAGGATGCCATTTACCACAACAATGGGGAAATTTAGAAAAAAATTACGGTGTCTTATTCACATAGCATGGGTACGGTGATGTTTGGGGTTTGAAGTTTTTAGATACAAAAACTCGATGTTATTGAGTTTATTTATAATAGAGATAAACGGTTTTGAGATCAACATATAAAACAGGATTTGAGAATAATATTTATTCATCATCTGTTAGCAAATGTCATCGTATCCATTCTATGTGAAACGGTCTATAGTGGAATATAATTTTACAATTTATAGGTTTTAATAATAATTCAACAAATTAAATTGCAAGTCTGGATTATTGATTAAAGAGATTGACATGACGACGGTAAAAAGTTAATAATTTTTATTAATTTGCAGCTATGTATCTGCCTTCTGATTATAATATTTGCGTACCATTTTTTATTATAGATTTTATTTAATTGTAGTTATTGCTTAATAACCCTTTTGTTTAAGTTTTTTGTTACATTGGATTGGATTTCAGTGTATATTTAATGTACAATCTTATTTCTGATATATAAATAAAGTTTCAAGTCCTATGCAATTAGTGACGTGTAAAACTATACTATTAGTACCAATTGCCAAAAAGTTTATGAAACATAAAATTAGCGAATAACATCAATGACCGGTACAGATTCCGGGAAAATTTAGATTTATGACATAGCCACCCAGGAGTCCAACAAAAGGTCAATAGAGGTCAAATAACTTTGCTTCAACCAATAGTTCTGAGTTTGGCCTCCAGTTCTTTTACTTTATCTTCATGATTGACTCACACTACTCGCATATATCCATAGAAATAACCTAGATTCGCTTCAAGTATGCTGGGAATTTGCCATAGCCGAATCGCAATCTATTCATTGTAGTCAATGATATTACAATAAAAAGGATAGATAGGTTACTTGCATTCACAGTCTAGCGAAAGCGTTGATTGTGTGCGTTTATGTACCATAATCATTTTAAAAATGCCATCCTGTGTTATGCAAAATTGTAGAAACAACATAAGTAAGTCGTCTAAAGACCAAGGGGTCACATTTCATTCGTAAGTATACATTTTAATTGATTTGCGTTTTAATCAGAAAAATAAATAATGTGTCATGAAGAGAAAGAGTAAATACTCCAGTTATAAGTTGCGAAAAAGATCTGTCAAAGATTATGTAAGTGACAGAACGGCCAATTCGGCTTTATTGCCTACGCTTTATCTTACATTTATTTGAAAATATATATGAGACTCAAACTCCAGAAAATCGAAACCTAAATCCGGAGCTAAAAAAATACTCCGATTAAGATTTCA